CGACTAATTTATGTCAATTGGCAAATGATTTCAGCTCTTGATAACTAAATCTCCATTTAAGTCTGTAACGTGGCAAAAGCAAAACTGCCTTTAGCAGACGAGGACGACTTTATAAAGTTTATGAGAGTTTATGCGATATGTATCCATGTCCCATGTTGTTGTTTTCCTGTGTCTCATTTGTATGCAGGGCATTTATATGGCTGGGATGATAAAAATGATGATGATCTTTCTATGATAAAAGATATATATGATAAAGATCAAATATAAACAAAAAGATGTATAATAAAGACATAAAAAGCATTATATACAGTGCTAGTTAGTAGATGATGGGCTCAACAGCCACACACATTAAATACAAGGAACATGTGGCAACCTCAGTGTTTAATTAATTAAATAAATGTGTAGTTTTTGTGATGTAAGCAGGTCAAAGTGATTTGCCTCCGCTGTAAAACCCTGCCATGATCATTTAAAGCAGAATCAAATCAAACCCCAAACACATGATAACAAAGTAGATCACATTTCTAATACAGATTTCATGAGGTGCATGTTTTTTTTTGTGATGTAAGCGTGGATACTTGTGATGGATATTCAATTGTTTAGGATGTGCAAACATCTTTTTACATTATTAAAATAACTTGCAGTTATCTGACTGTGGACATTTAATCTGCAAGAGATTAAATGGAGGGAGCATGTCATTGGTGAATGATGAGCTTTAAATAGCAGACAACCTATTTATTTATATGTGTTTTATTTAAACAAACTTAGTTTCCCCCCATTCAAGTGTAATATCAAAGTTAAAATATATATAATTACTTAAATCACTTTGTTTCAGGCCCACAACTTCTAAACAACGTCGATTTAAAGCCTAAATAATATGTTTTATTTCTTAAAACAAGCCATAGCACGCATAGACCTGAACACAACAACTTAAATAAGGAAATAAACAACATTTACACTGAATAATGTTAGATAAGAAGAATGTAAACACAACGCTATGGTTACCTTCAGAGTGTAGACTCTGTCCCCGTCCTCGTTGAGGTAAAACTGCAGAAACATCTCCACGAAAACTTTGTTTTAAAGCTCCAAGGACTACAAAATAAATCCAAGATGGGTTTTATTGGATGGAAAAACCCTTAAAAGTTGCAGCTAACTAACACGCTGTGTAGCATCCAATCTCCACGTGTGGCCAGGTTTCCGGTCGCTCGGGTATCAGAGCGGATATCCGGTTTAGACTTCGCTCAGCATTCTGGGAAATGGTGTTTTCTGACAACGCGTGGCTCAAAGTCTCAAAATTAATTAATAGGTTATCTAAGAAAAGCGCTTTTGTTATCTGTACTATCAATATAAATATCAATTTAAAAAATTTTAAAAAATCACGAAATGCATGCTGGTGGTTTTAATTCCACCCTGGTTAAGAAAACAATAAGATATATATTAAATAAAATATTGACTAAGTGGCTTGTCGACAACTTCCGTCACTTCTTTAAACTGAGCATTTTGTGCTGCTTCATAAAGAACATATTCCAACATGTTTGTTTTACGTTGTTTAATTTAATTTGTGTCTATGATTAAGATATAAAATAGTTTACTTTTACACACATACTGTATGTTGTATGACATTTTGGGTCGGTGCACAAACTATACAGTTACTATACAATATAGTAGCTACTAAATAGATCAACAAAATATATAAAACAGTAGTACACTTTAATTTCTGAGACTTTATGAAGTTCAGAATGTTTTTTTGTGCAGAACTTACAGTCGGAAGAAAACTGTTTATTTTCAAAACATCAAAACTTTAGATGCAAACTGATTGTAATGGTCGACGACTAATCACCTCCTACAAGAAAGGTAGGCTTTATGAGATCTATGTGATAAAACCTGTACAGTGTGTTTGATTTGCCACTTCCATTGTCTGCACTGATAGTTACAACAGTAGCTTATGTACAAAGTTTTGCACTGCAGTTCACAACAGAGCTTTGATTTAACTTAACATGTTAAAATACGTGTTAATACTGAAGTTGCATGATTGAATAAGGACTGAAGGTGTATCCAATTAGAAGTGTATAATTTCACATGCATGGGAGGGTGTTGTAATACTGAAATACATGTTGCAAATAGTGTCAGCAGCAGTGTGAGTACTTGTTGGGGTTGAGGAAACTGCATGAGTCTTATATAGCAGATGCAGTGTGAATGCTGGTGGTTCATCCAATCATTTATTTAAAAAATGTGTAAATTGGAAATATATGCTGGCAAATCCTGTATAAATTAGGGACAAAATGAAACTGATTATTCCAGGATCTAACAATAAAAATCAACATTTGTCATGTAACCAGTGTAATGTATGATGTTATAAAGTCTGAGCAGATAAATGGAATTTGATTCACTAAATGATGAATGATAATAATAATAAATGAGGCTATAATACCTGCAATTATATAATTTCTATATTGAAATGCAAGCTCTCGTCCATGGATAAACAGCTACTGAGCTTGTCAAATGCACAATATTTTGTAGTCGTTTAAAGTTTGCATTTTAAACTTCAGGAGGTAAAAGGTGCAGTTGGCTAAGGGTTTATACAGCAGACATTTTTGGTTGTATTACTGTTTAATGTCTTCTGTAGTTTTATAATTTCATTATTTGGAACCACATTAAAGTATATTCTACACTCTTTTACTCATTATTCATTTAGCCGATAGAGTCAATAAATACAGTATCATCTCCTCCAGTTAATTAAAAGTTGTGGCAGGCTGATAAAAGAAAACCTTTGTTTTTCTGCCCTGGAGCGTATTGTACTAGAAGCCCTTCACTCTAAGTCTGAGCTCCTCAACCTGCCTGAAGGACCGAGGGGGTGGTGAGATAATCGCAGGGGGTCGTTAGATGGTTGTGGAGAATAAAATTAAATAACAGATTGTGGCAAGCAGCGTGGAATGAGAGCCAGAAAGCAGCTCTCGACCCCTTTAATGACAACAAAGGGGACAATAACTTAAAAACCCTACATGCTTTATACTCTGTTTTATACACTTAAGCAGGTCCAGTTACCTCTGTCTACCTCTATTATCTATTAACCTCAACTCGATTATTCTAGCAGGTTCTTGCCTCTAAAAGGTTGAGAATCATCTATCTAAGTACCTGTATTGGAGAGAACAGACAAACCCATTTATCTTTGCTGTTTGAGTTGGTCAAATTGCGATTGATCGTCATTATATTCTCACTTTCCTCAGACAGAGACAAGCAGCAGACGTACAGAGATATAAAAAAAATGGATCCAGTGCTGATTTCTCTGCCTGAGATCATCCTAAATGAAGAGCCAGATTACAATCACTCCCCACATTATTACCAACCCCTTCGATCTCTTCCACAAGAACAACTAGACACTGAAGAACTGTCAGAACCCTCCCTTCGGATGAGCCACGAAACCATCGGCCCAGTTGAACAGTTTTGTCCACCAGGACCTCGTCTTGCGATGGATGAATCGCCGTCACAGAGAACTTCCAAAGTTGTAGAAATGCTCCAGACGATGTGTAATTCCCTTCAAAAAACAGACCCGAACCTCATCGAACCCAAAGCTCAGGACGGTCCCTTTCCACTCAACCTTCAGACTCTATCGCCTTTCCCCATGCACCAGCCCGTACTATTACCAGAGATCATATGTAACCCCTGCTCTCCTCAAGACTCCTGCTGGCTGAATATGAGCCCCGTCGCCTCCACGTCGAAATCCCCGTTTGGTTTTAGCTCCTATGTGTTGGTGCCAGTCAGCAGCCCAGAGTTCTGGTGCAACGCCCACGTACCTCCTCAGCCTTTGGTCGTCCTGCCCGAGGTTCGTCCCAGCTGGTGCTTCTGTCCAGAGACAGGGCTCGTCCATCAGCAATGCTGTCATGACCTGTAAGAGATATACAGCAGATAACTTATTAGATCCATAAACACTGGAGGTTTTAATGATTGAATCCTGACTGTCGTACTGTATCTGACTTCAGGGTCTTCGGAAGAGCTCAGCAGGTCAGCGGGCAGTCTGCAGCGTCAGGGAAAGAGCAGAATGAAGAGCAGTCCAAAGGTCAGAGGTCAAGGGTTTATATGAAAAAGCAAGGTGGTGACATGATAGTCCATTTTTAGTCATACTAGCTAGGGATTGATCGGTTTATCAATTGGTCGGTCCGCCACGTTGGGGCATTCACGCCCCCTCTCAGGATGAATTGGACTTTAGGGTCAAGTGTACTCAGATCCGGGCTTGGGTCCCTAATGTGAAAGCCTTCATTGTCTTGTTTAGACTTACTTTTCACCCTTTTTCACCCTTTGAATTAATGAAAATGGTTCAAAGTTAAACTGACTTTTATTCTCTACCATAACATTGTCTTTCTTCACAGAAAAACTGGAGCAAAATAATACACCTGCAACAAAGTTCAAGGGTTCTCCACCATCTTTGGACAAAGAATCAGTGGCCGACTGCGCCTTTGATGAATACATGACGATCATGGATTTTATTTCTCCCAAGGTCCCTTACTAAATGTTATAATGTAAAACTAAGAAATGTTGTCAATGTTGCACAAATTTAAGGATTTCACACCACAAAATTATCAGTTTTTGTAAAATATTTGTGTTGGAAATAGCTGCAATAGATGATTTCATGTTTCAGCGAAATGTTTTTGAAGGTAGAAAAACAGTTAATAATCGAAATGCTTCCTTATGGAACAAAACTCTACAATGTGCAAAGTTATATTTGTACTGTAAAACTAATACACCCTCAATGACCAAATCTTCTGGCTGCACTCAGATCCCAGAGGACGAGACAACCAGAGAGAATAAAAGTGAGGAAGACGAGGATGACTGGAGACTGGAGATAGAAAACGGCTCATTTTTGGACTATCTGGATAAACTGTGCAGTGACGAGGAATTTGTCGGAAAGGTGGGTTATCAGTGGGATTCATATAATATGTAAAAATAATAATAATCTTTATTTATCGAGCACTTTTTAAAAATCCACAGTGTCACAGGTTTTAAAAGAATATTTCAACCAGCTAAAACAAGAAAACAGATTAAAAAAAAAAAAAACTTTTAAATTAAAATATTACCTCATCAGTATTTATTGTTCTAAGATAGCATTTCATTAACAAATTTTCATTAAATCAGAGGACAACAAAGTGATTTTCAGGGCAAACAATGGTAAAGCCGTTATATCATGGTTGCCTTTTTAATCATGATAATATGATCTCATTGTTTCCAGCACAGGTTAAAAATAAATATTTGGCTCCTTGTTCCACAATATTTCATACTGTATGACAATGAATGATAAGTTTGAGGAACCAGCAGTTACTACTGTACACTAAAAAGAGGTTTTATTGTCTTTGTGTTTCAAATTGTGCTCATCTCTCAGGTGGATTCGACACTGAATACACACTACCTGGATGCCTTCCTTTCTGCAGACCTAGACCCCAATGACCTTACTGCACTAGAAAAAGAGGTAACGTGATAACATAAGTGCTGTAAATGTTGTGTTGCCAAGCCAATTTCATGTTATAATGGCATGTTATAAGCCAGCTTGCAGCCTAAAATTTGAACACAAAGACTGTGTTACAAGCTGGGGACTGTGGAGTCTGAAAGCTGTGGGTGGTTATCAGGCAGGGAGGGTCTTAAAGGCACTACCAAGCTGCCCTATGGGAAATGTAGGGGGCTCATACTACAGACAAAAAAAAGTCAGGATATCTCTGCCTCTTTATTTTTTAAATCTGTCCTTCACAATTACCTCACAATTCTGGAAGTGTGTTATTAAATCACTGTTGCACTCCTTTAATATCTTTCTTTCAGGTGCAGTACCTGGATTCCCTCATTCCTCTGAATCAAGAGGCCGTTGACCATCTTCCATATAGGGAACTTCAGCAAGAGGTAAAATCATAAAAAAATATTATAGTTTTGTGGCAGTTTTTTTGCTTTATTGTGATGGATTAGGATTAGGGGAGCTGTTAGGATAAAAATATCGTAAAATTTCTAGCATAAAATTTGAATATTAAAATAAAAAGTTGTAATACTTTCAGAAGAAAACTGTAGTATTACGAGAAAAGGTTTGGTTGGGAAACAAAACGTCGTATTGTTGGATTACCTGTGCAGTTAAACTGTTTTAATTGCAAAAGACTGTTTAGAATAAATTATCCTTATCCCTCATACTGGACTGCATTAGGAGCTAGGTTCACCGAATAAACTTGCAACTGAGTGCATACACAAAAGCGAGGATAATGCTATAGCCTTTTAATTAAGTCATCTTTTGTTTTCATCTTTTTGTTTTTTCTTATGGTCAGCAGCCTTTGGAGGTACTCCTGCAGCATTTACATTCCCCTGCTGGCTCCAACGTCGATCCTGTCACAACTTCACCACTCCAGGGGGCTCAGTCGGCCGTTTTGGATCCTCCAGGCACAAAATCTGAGACAAACCCAAACCATGATGGACAAAATGCACCTCTGAGCACGAGGAATATAGGATCATGCTCTCCCATCCTTTATTCACTCCCTCTAGAAGAACCACTGCCCACCGATGCCACAGCAAAATATTATAAGACTGTTGATGCCATGGATCCTCTTTATTATGATGGCTCCATTTTCAAGGACTACAATTTTAATTCAGTTTCGCAGCTGTTTGCCAATATCTTCCCAGAAACCAGTCATATTTCTGGGACAAGAGACAATGATGCATTGGCAGAGGGACCTGCAGCCATAGTTCCCACAGCAGATGTGTCTAAAGATGCCACGATGTCCCTCTCAAACATTGCAAACACACAGTCAGCTGAGATGTCCCTAAAGCTTCACGAAGGACCTCAACCTGGGGATCTTCCTGTCTCAGAGTCCCCCTCAACCTCCAGTGATTCAGGGTCCAGCGAGGACCCTCACACCATTGCCGTGAAAGATCCCGCGTCCAGTTTGAAAGCTGATTTGTTGACTGTCAGCCCACCACAGTCGGCCAGTCCACCAGCTCCGAGTGTCCTGGCTTCACCACCAGCTCAGATGAGGGAGCTTGAAGAACAATGTAGCCCTAAAAAGCCCTCTTGCCTTGAGGACTACACAGTTCCTGTGCCAGCTAATTCATCATTTGTGGTAGATTCCCTTGCAGAGTCTTGTGATCACCCAGTTGATGGCAATTTATCAGATTCAGTGCCTGAAGAACAAACAACAGAGCCACCAAAAGAACTGCAAGTTTCTCAGGAGTTTGCATCCTCTGGCATTTCCTCTGGAGAGTGGGACGAGAGAAAATGTGAGAACAATCAGGGAAAAGGTGGAACAACAGTGACACAAAAGATACAGGCTATAAAAGCAAGAAAAGAAAGGAGGACCAAAAATAATGAGACCAAACTCAAGGGAACAACAAACAAAGTCCAAATCAGACGCAGTCAGAGGCTGTCATGTCAAATTAAAAAAGAGAAAACAAGACTGACTGGTGAATTCAAAACAGCGAGAGCCAAGACGAAGAAACCAGGTGAAAAAGGGGTTAAGGAAACAGCTAAATCCACCCCAGAGAGGAACGTTGTAATGCATGAAAAACAGGAGAGACAGTCCTCCAAGGGAAGGCAATTATCTAAAAGAGAGGAGAGTAATTTTGAAGAGTGCAGCCAAGCAACAACAACAGACAATACAACAAAGCAATTTTCGAACACTGGAGCGACGGAGAAACTCAAGGTGGAGGGAGAGGAAGAGTGCAAGGCCAGTGACCCCAATGTGAGCACTGAAATTGGTGCAGAAACTTCTCTTTTAACCAACATGGCACAAGAGGAGAAAGGGTTGGAAGAGGAGGAGGTAAAAAGGAAAGAGGGAATTCAAACGTCCAGTTTTGTAAGCAGAAAAACCAGGAGCATGACGACTGAGGAACAAGTGCAGCTGACTCCTCTTCCTGCCACTAGAGCTAGAGGGAAAATCCAACACTCAGAGATGGAGAGGAGAAAGGTAAAGTCCTCACTTAAGAGAGAAACACAGGACAAGGTTTCTGGAGACTGCAGGACTGATTCTCTATCCAAATCCTCTCCACAGAGCTCAGGAGTTCAGACAGATACTCATTCAACAAGAGACTCAATAAATGAGTTGCCAGGGGAACAACCTCTGAATGAGAGAAATGAGACACCTTCTGCAAAAAGCAGTGAGAAAAGTCCACATTTAATCCTCGCTCTGTGTCTCGAGACCCAGCAACAAATCCAAAAAGTAACGTTAAGTGGAGGTGGAGCAACAGGAAGCGAACTTCGGGACTTTTACAGCTTAAGGTCACAAACTCATAAGCCAAATGTGTCAGAAGGCCCAGTGAATAGGACAGGGGCAGCCGAGGCAACACCTCACCCGTCTATCATCAAACCAGGTCCAGATCAGACAGCAGGTGCAAAAGGTGAAGATGAAAGAATAAATAGAGAAGAAGCAGAACACCCAAGCCTCACATCGA